ACAGTCCTGCCTGCCGGCCCCAGTTAAACCACTGGACTGCACTGACACCAAATCACCTTCTCTGGCCCCTTCTGAGCCATCATTAGCCTGTGTAGAACCTTTTGATCTGTTTTTGGAGTGGACATGTAACAACGTAGGATGCTTCAGGTTGCATAATCTGCATGTGAGACGCCTTTTGCAGTCTCTACTCCTGTGCCCAATGCACAAACAACCGAAGCACATATTGTTCTCCTTCAGAAAAGACATCTTTTCATCTTGAGTCTTTCTATCCAAAAGAAGGCAAACATCCAAAGAGTGTCCAGCTCCACATAACAAGCACGGCAAGTTCCTATCTCTTGTGTTCACAGGCTCCACTTTCTTCGCAGGTGCTACATTGGTGGCAAAACTACTGCCCCGTGGCTTTACTCCAGTCCGCAAAGATCCAGCTTTAGACTCTTTTCTTCCGGTTCCAGGTGCGTCTTGAATATCTCCAAAAAGAGGATCACTTGCGATCTTAACTTGTTTACTCACAAACTCCACAATGTCATAGAATGTTGCTCTACGGTTGAATTTTTCTTGTAGATCACAGGCAACACATCTCCAACGAGCTCTTAGCTTGTAAGGCAGCTTTTTCACAATTGTTTGCATGTTAGAGGGCACATTCAGGTCACCCATAGATTCTCCCATGGAGTTGTAACACTCACGGAGCAGTAAACTGTAGGCCTGTAATGCCTTGAGGTCTTCTCCTTTTACTGAAGGAGCACTTTGTCCATGTAAGCTGAGGCTACTTTAAATGGGTCTCCAAAATGTTCTTGTAGCAAAGCCTTTGCTTTCATGTACCCATGAGCGGGTGGCAGGTGTTGACAGCTTCGGACTATGTCTCGGGGCTGGCCTCTTGTATACTGCTCAAGGTAGTACAAACAGTCTTTGTGGCTGGGAGTCCGGTCTTCAATATTGTGTTCAAAACCTCTCATGAAAGTTTGATATTGAAGTGGATCTCCATCGAAAGCTTGCAGGTCACGTTTGGGTAACAGGAAAAGGGACTGTTGTTCAACAAGTAGTGATGTGATTTCATTCTGCTTTTCAAGGACAGTAAACAAGCGGTGGTCGGGGATGCTCTGACTTATATGCATGTTGTGGTCAGGTTGAATGAGAGGGACAGATTGATATAATGGAGCTTGTATTGATACTAAATGGCTGGGCCCTGTAGCGGTAGACTGTAGCCCTGTTTGGAAACTTGCTTTGGGCTTTGCTGCCACATTGACTTTATGAATGCTTGTGTCTTCTGCTTGAGATTTCTGTGTGGTGAAAGTGGGCACAAACGTGGAGGCGTCTACATTTAACTGTGTATTTCTACTTTGTAAATAAGAGTTCATTCCATCAGATTTGGCTGATACATGAGAACCTTCAGACGCTTTTAACACATTCATTTTTGCCACAGAAGCTGCCAGTTCCATGTCCAAATCCATTGACTCCATTTTCCTCTTTAACTCTTCTTGTTGTTTCTCCATTTGTCTCCTTAATTGTTCCTGTTGTTCCTGCATAGCATGTTTTTCTTTCAATAGTTTTTGACGGGCCATAATAGCGGCGGTCTCAGCTTCTGCTCTTAATCGTGCTGAGGAAGTGCTTGACACCGCAGACTTGTGGCTCACAACAGTACTGCGTCTCTTTCCAGATGATGCATTGGAAACGCTGTCATTCGGTTCGATTTCCACTGCAGTACTTTTCAGATGCATTACAGTTTTAAAAATGTTTGCTGTGTTTTCGTTTGAAAGAAGCTCTTTCCTTGGGAGACATTCCTGCTCAACAGCGCACTCTGCTGGTATTTGTTGTGCATCATCCACTATTGGCAGTTCCAAGAGCCATTTATTTGCCTCCTCCACACAAGTAGCTTTATGCTCCTCCACATTGACAAACCATGCATTCTGCTGTTCCTGCAGAGGGCACCATAGAAATGACTTCATCATGCAACTTGCTTGCTTCATTAAACAGAGTTGATACATTTTCAATGCATGAGCGGACCTTTTCAGTATTTACAGCATTTTTCATAAGCTCTGTCATTTCTCTCGTTGTCATTTTGATTTGTTTTACTTTAACTTTTCTATCATGTTGAAGCCTTTCTAATTTCTGTTCAAAGGCTTTAAATGTGAGCTTTGATTGTCTTTTTTTGAGTCTCTTCTTTTGACCCTTCTTGAGTTGACATATTTCCTTCTTAAATATCCACAAATCTCAATTCTGCTGTGCACACTTCTTGATTCCTTTATTATTTCTCTCCTTTTTTTACTTTATTTTTTATGGCTTTTGCTCTAAGACACAGCGTTCCTCTCCCCAACACTCACGCGGACCCAGCTCCAATCTTTATTTAAGTGGAAGCTCAAAAAATCCGTAAAAACCAAACCAAATAGCACTTCACCTTTTGTAACAAGCACTACAGAGTGAGGGGATCAATAATCCATGTTATTCGCTAAAGCAATGCCTTTTTAGCGCAAGCCCTTGATTGACGTGTGCAGCGGATTTGTGAATGAATGGGCACTGCGTATTATCCATGCGCGCTCACGTCTATCTTCACAACTTTGATAGAGATTGTAAACATCCACAGTTGTCCGACATTACAATGAAACTGCGCTTCAACAAACGACAGGGTTTTCTGTTGACAAATATAGTGGCGTATGGGAGGGCAAACTTAATCCATGACGCCACGGCGGGCTAAAGCAAGGGAGCAGACACTGATGACGCGCAGTCGGAGATATTGCACAGTATAATGAAGTTTATTGCGGAGAGTAGAAATGAATCAGGCACTTACTTGGAATGTTGCTATGTATGATGATGAAGATACCTCATTAAGACAGTGCAGATATTTTAATTGATGGAAACATGCGGTCAACAGAAAGTTCCTTCCCCAGCTCACCCCACCGCTATGACACAGGCACACACACACACAGCTGAAGTGAGCGCGTGCACTGAATAGACAACCACACCCACTGGACCCGTGCATGATACTATATGCGCGTGCATGTACTAGTCACATTCACACAGAAAAACAAAAACCCTAAATGGCTAGTGTAGCACTAGGCAAATATGTTTCTTGTTCAATGTTATCTGCCCCATGTGTTGTACTATGTGTGAAAATTATGCATGTCTTGTCAAACCTTAGTCAAATGGTTTTTTAAATGGTATAGCCACTGTTTGTGTTGTGGCGTTACTTAATCCGGTGACTGGTGGGAAGTGAAAGGTTGTGAGTGCAGACAGACACAGAGGCTCAGGGCTCAGGGAAACAGGCTTTGCCAAATAGCATCTGATGTTCTAATCAACCTTCTTTCAAGGATCTATTATCCCTCATCTACATTTAACCACTCATGAGTTAAAGACTTAAAGACTTCAAAAGGAAACATGGCTCTATCTGATTCTTTGAGGCTGATTGGAATGTTGCACTTTTTGTTCCAATGTGTTGAGTAAATGTAGATCTCTATTTATGACCACATCAGTCACAACGTGTATTTCTCAACTGTACTTGTGGTTTCTCAGTTTTTTCCAACTGGGATTTTTTAGTGGTTCCTTGCCAATGAGGGCATGAGGGATGATCCAGGATATTGAAGGACATCTATGGACGTTTATTATGGTTTTTTGGACATTGGTCATCCCTCTCTCTATGGATCAAAGTCTCCTGTGTTTTTTTATTATTGCATTGCCTGTGTTCAAACTGTTTGATTCTCTTGTCTGTTGTTGGTGAATCAACAACTTTGTAAAGTCCTCTGAGATGAGTGCTTTTGTGATTTAGGGCTATACAAAAATAAATTGAATTGAAATTTTCACAGGTTAATCTGAACTTGTCATTGAATTTTCCCTTTTTAAAATGAAAAACAAGCATCTGACTTCACTCAATTAAGTTACAAGTTACATCAATGGAGAGATAAGATGTAATTTTTAAGCACTTAAATCATCCATAATTGTTCTATTACGCTTTAAAACAAACTAAGCGACATATCAAGCAAAGCAATAACATATTCATTATTGCTAGAAGGAAATTGGACCACTTCAATACAAGTTTTACAGTTTACAATCAGTAATCATCATATTTTGTCCTCCCTTTAAGGATTGCACAGGTTTTTGTGGTTTTTTTTTTTATTTTTTATTTTTTGGAGGAAATCTTCTGTTTCTTCAACCTGATGTCAGGCCAATCCCGCAGTATGTTTTGATCTATTTAAACTTTGTAAACTTATTCTTGGGTCGAGCTGGGGACCCTTTTCTGTTTCTTTGATTTTAACCTGTCATGCACCTGTATGTGCATTATTTTCATCTGTATGTTTTTTTAAAAAAAGTGAAGCGCTTTGTGATCCTGGGTTGTGAAAGACGCTAATACACTTGACTTACTCACTTACTTACTTAATGAATAACTCCGTAAATCTGTGGCAGACCCTGCGCTGCGTAATTACGCATGGCGATTTGTTTTTTCTCATTCACCTCTGGCAAAGCAATGTATTTTTTCATTAGTTTTGTGCATAAAGCCCCATAAACGCACTGTGGGAACGGGCTCACGGGCAGTGGCTCTGTGGGAAGTGCGCAGCAGGTGAAAATAAAAGAAGAAAGTGAAAAAAATATAATTCTATTGAACTTTTCAACAGTATTTCCATTAAAGTGCAAATACAATACAGATCCCTGCTCTCTGTGCCTCTGAGACAAACCAGCGGCGAGAATCTTGTCACTTCAGTCCCTGCTTTCTCTTGACCTCACCACAAAAGCCACAACAGCGTCGCACAAAGAGCACAGCCACAGTTCGCCGTGCAGCTTTGATTTGCTTGTCCACTGAGACGGCAATATACAAAAAAAAAGTCAGATAACGCCCGGCTTTCAGCCATGAGAAATACCTTCATGTCTGTGCTGTTACCGTGGAAACGCAGTCTGTTTGATGCTCTTGGAAATGTCATTTGTGGTCTACTCTTTTTGTGTTGCATAATCGTGAAATGGTGTGCTTTCTCCCGTAGGTAAATGTGGCTCCAGCTTGTGTGAAGGCCTTGACAAAGATGCTGTATTGTCCGTACTGCCGCGGCCTGCCTGGACTGAAGCCCTGTCATAACTACTGTCAGAACGTGATGAGGGGCTGTTTGGCCAACCAGGCAGACCTCGACACGGAGTGGAACCTCTTCATTGGTAAGAAGTCCTTCTGTCATGGCTGCACGCACACGTGAGAGTTCCTTCACACAAACCATTTTGAATGAAAAAATCAATTATTTTTATTTTTGTATTCTCCTAGTCTCCTATTCATCCCACCAGGGGCAAATCATTTGAGCCGCGTTGGGCATAAAAAAAACAACCACTAAATAACACAGGCAATGTCAAACATGCGATATGAAGTGGAGCCCAAATAATTTTATGAAGACAACACGACAATACAAGTTCAAACACACACCGAAGTCCATGTCGCCAACATGCAACAGTTCATATTTTTATATGTTGATTTATTGAATTCTTGAATAGTCATTTCCATTCACCCAGAATATTTTTACACAAGAAAGGTAAATGCACCAATATTGTATTTTTTTGTGGCTGTGTTTTAATAGATACAGTTCAGTAACATTAAGTAACATTTTACACTTCAGCTTTGTTATGTTCAAGAGGAAAATGTTGGTGCACTTACAATATTAGTTTACTTAATGAGTTTAATCCATCATGACAGATTTATGTAGAAAAGGTTGCTTAACTTAACAATTCAATTCAACACTTCATTTCTTAGGGTGCAGTAATAATTCAATCTTGACATCCAATTGAGTGTCAATTCTGCTTTTCTCTAAAACACATACTTCTAATTCAATTCCAGTTTTGAACAGGAACAAATATTAATCTAGTCATTATAAGAAAAACAGTCACCTTGTCACATAGAAAACCCAACACACATTTGTTTCAATCAATTGTGACACCTCTAACTAAAACAAATAATACAATAACAGCATATGCAGACACAACTTATAAACGGAGCCAGTATTTGTTTCCAAGGAGACTGAGCCAATTCCCCTGTAGCTGTCCGTGGTGCTGAAGATTGCATTCACGCTTATTCGAGCTTTTGTTTTCGCCAAACAAAACTGCCTTTGTGAATGCACCTCTGCTCACGTGTGTCTGCCATTGCATGTCCTTCTGCTCATGTGCTGTTGTAATTGTGCTTCTCTCTGTCATTCCTTATGTCCAGGAATACTCGCAGTGGGATATGTTGTGTTACATTCAGCTTTAAAGGATTTACTGAGACAAAACTCAAAATCTTATTTGTGAAACCATTGCCTGCTTTTTTTTTTTTCTTTTCACGGCCTGAAATGTTTCCTATTGCCGCAGTCCTGGCATGGTGCTTAAAGCTCTGGTCCCTGCTGTTTGGGATTGATAAAGGAGAGGAGATTCTCAGCAAACACATTTTCTATAGCATTTCCAGCTGGGCTACGTGAGTAATATGGCCCTTCAGTGGGGCTAGAAGTAACTGCGTCTATAAGCCCTCTTGTTAGGATAGAAGGGAGGCACACAGACAGCATTCCCTCAAGATTTGCTTCAGGCTTGGACTTTATTTGTTTTCTATCTTACACCATGTACTGCTAATGAGAGGGCAAGGGAAAACATTCAAGTATTTGAATCAGGACAAAACAATAATATTCGTGGGCAATTCAAGAGTCTTTCATGTGAATATCAAGTCAGATTGAACTTTCCTGCCATACACTATTTGGATATCATTTAGTAAAGACATTGAAGGACATCTATGGACTATGGTTAATTTATGGACAGCCCTCTCCCCTATGGAGCAAATCTATCTTTTGTTTTTTTTATAATTGTATTTCCTAGTTCCTTTCTAGTCTGTTTCTGGTGAATTGGCAACATCCGGGACGTCCATTGAGACAACTGCTTGCAGCTGTAATTATTTTGGGCGATACAATCACAAATTAAATTGAAATTCAATTGAGATAAAGAAAAAAAAGAAGAAAAAAAAGTTCTCAGTCCAACAATTTGTCATCTCCTGAGATTTTTCAAAATAGTCAATTTACCAAAAGCAAAGAGAAAGAACAAGTGATTAAAAAGATGAAGCTAGAACCCTGGACTATGAATTTCTTGACAAATGGATAAAACAAAATACATAAAGAAAGATAAATGGAGTGGAATGGAGAATGGATAGTACAAAAGCGGTAAAGGAAAGAGCTAATAAAAGAACATTTCCTTCAGGGAGTAACTCAAGTAAAAGTAACAGCGGTTAAAACACGCTACGCCCCACCTCCGTCTTTAATTTACAGTGTTTGTTTTAAGTGCTCTCCCGACAGGCCCCGTGTCAAGCTCTTGGTTTTCTTCCAGATCAGTGCGAATCCCGCAGGAGAGGGACAAAGGCAGACGACGTAATGCTTAGGCTCCACGTCCGCTCCGGTCCCAGCGCTCTGAATGAGACGTCTGGCAGCTTTATGACAAGTGTTAAAAAGTTAGCGTCTTGTTCAGTGGTGAAGAGGCAAATCTATGGGCGCAGAGGGAGCTGGTGTGACAGTAACAGGACAGGGTGTTTTTTGAGGAAGAATGACGACTTTGGTTGGACATAAACACCTCCGAGGTATGTGCATAGGAAGTGGGAAGTGCCATTAGAAAAAAATACTTTCAAGCTGCCCTTTACTAAGTAGTTTTTGGAAAAGCCAGGTGCATTTAAGTCCTATACAGATAATATGTTTGAGCAAATCCTTTCAAATGTACTGCCATAAATAAACAAGCTAAAGAAATGCACATTTTTGACACATTTTCAAAACGGAGATATCTGTTTTTGCAAATGAACTCTTCAAATATGTTGTAGGTTTTGAGATTAGGAATAACCCTTAAGAGGTTTGTTTGTATGATTATAATTTTTTGGATGCATGTGCTTTTAAGGAAAAGGTTGTTTTCTATTTGTAAAAGATGGGGTACCTAACTTTCAAGCCATAAACCTATCTATCTAACTAGTTTACTCGCTCTCAAAACAGTCTTTCGCTAAAGTAGATGGATTTTGAACCTCTGTCACATCTTCGGATCAGCTTTTCCACATAGATGCATAAAACCATGGGAAAAACAGGACAACTTTTGCACTCTGCTCAAAGCATCAAAGTCACTCACAAGGTTAAAGTATGCAAATGTTTTGTAATTTTATGAAACTGGTTTGATTTCAAAATGTTACTTCTACAAGCCCCTCTCTGTTGGCACAAACAAATAGTCTTACAAAAATAAAAGATACGTACCTCAGCGTTAAAACCTGGTTCCGTCTTGAGTTGGTTCTCTTTGATAATTGTAATTCCACTTTCGCTCTGTCTAGTCCAGGTTTATCTCTTATTTACACTCAATTTAGGGGAGATTAAAGACCTTATGCTGGTTTTTCTTATTTTTTATTGTGGATATCAAAATTGCATGACAATGTCGATGTGAAAGAGATTCCGGCAAAAAAAATCCTATATTTTATAAAAAGAACGTGTTTTTCATGAATTTAAGTTGTCTATGCTCTAACCTGTGTGTGACGTCATAGCGGGTTACGCCCATGCATTGAAAACCATGGATCTATGCCACATGAATGCCTTTTCTCTCTTCTCTCCACTGATGCCCAACACAATACTGCCCTCTACAGGTGACAATTGCTCACTACACATAAATTGCCGTTTTGAGAGTGAAAATGTGTCTGAGGTGGGATTTGAACCCCAGTATCTGGAATGATTGTTCATCGACACAACCACTGGACTATCTCAGTGCAAACGAAATGTTACAATCTAGTACTAATCTCATACTCGCTGTGCACGGCCTTGTCATCTTGAATATCCGCGAAAAAAGAACGAATACCAAATTGTAAACAACTTACAGCGTTGAAACGTACCCACTCTGACGTCACCAAGGGCTGTGAAGTTTTTTCGTCTCTAAGGGCGTTGCTATGGGGTTATTTCGATTTGGGGGGATCAGACAGATGATTTTGAAACCTTTAGTAGTTTTCTTCTAATATAAAATGGTATTTCTAAATAAATCAAACCCGGCATAAGGTCTTTAAGTTTGGATTTTGAGCGGGTTATTTGCCGACACCAATTTACTGAAGTGACCAATGCAGAGAAGTAAGTTATCTTTTTTTATTTAGCGCCTTTCACTTGTATAACTTGTTATACGGCGGCGTTGAAGATAAAATAGCATTCTGTCTCACTGACACCTCCTTTGCACCACAGTCTGGGAACACACTAACCAAGTGGTCCTTTTGGCACTAAATATTTTGGGAAAGTATTATTCTTTTTAACATACATATCTTGTGGGTTCTGTGAGGTGAGCAGTGGAGGTGGATAGTGGCGTTATCAAGATATTACATTTGAGTTTTTCTGTCTAGCACAATACATAAACCAGTGTTTTTTTTGTATGGCTGGTCAACTGATCATCCTGGTGTCTTGGGGGTTTGTGTCCAACAACATTGAGAACCTAAGACAAATTTCTATTCTGAGACAAAAAAGTTTAACCTTGAACTTTGAAATTGACATGCACAAAATAAATACAATCGGTTAAAAAAAAAAAAAAACGTGAAATACAAATGGTAGAACTTGGTCTGTGTTAAAAGCCAAGGCAAACATATGCTGCTGTAATGTACAGTTAGGGAGCAGGAACAGCAAAGGCCCGGTCTCCAAGAGTTTTGACTCACGACCGAAGCACGTTCAACAAAAACTTGGTCTTTCACCTCACTGATCCGACAGGAACATAGAGACATAGCAGCTTCTTTGGGGCCAAACATTTAAACATAAAAAAAATATAAAACAGAATCTTAAAATCAACCCTGAATGTGGAGTGGGGCCAGCACAGGGGTAATGTGCTCCCTGTGAGTAAAAAGCAGCAGCATTCTGGACCCGCTGAAGAAACTTAACTGAGCCTAGGTCCAGACCACAGCACAGTAAGTTACAATAAAGGAGAAAGGAAACATTAAAACCATAAAACTGGTAAAAGCTGAATTCTAGATCATTTATTTATTTTAAATCTTTCAGTTATATGCTATCTTATATTCATCACCCATCTCTCACTTTTTTATATTCGAAAAGAAATACATAGATGTTATAAATATCCTCTGGAGCTGCATCAACAAATGGTTTAGTTTTCCTTCAACAATTGTATTTTTTTTTTTCATTGGCCTGTGCTGTTGTGGGTTCTGTAATTATAAATTAAGAAACCGTGTTTATTTCCCCCTACCACGAGTTTAGACTTTAAAACGCTTATGTCTCGTGTTTGGTTGGAGTTGTTCGATTTGCTTACCATGCAGCTTGTGAAGGATATTGATTTTCATTTCAGAAATAACTTCTTGAAGCAGCATGGTCAGTCGTGTCCACAGTATAAAGGCAAATGGGTCCAGGCCCACACAGTCTGTCATTGTCACATTCTAACGATTCCTTATTACGCATCCCGTCTTTAACGTTGATTGCGACATTTACCCATGGAAAGTGCTAACATCTCACTGTAACCGTCAATGAAAATGAATGATAACAATAATACAGCTACTTTTCGATTTGCCTTTAACAATCAACTCACATTTTTAAGTTTCTGTCATGAGGTGAAATGTAAAAAAAATGTCAATGTCAATTTAAAAGAGGAACCCAAAATGCAGGACTGAACAAAAAGTGTAATCTAGATCAATTAAACCAAATAAAACCTAAAAATCAAGAATTAAAACCAAGCTAGGAACAACCATGGTATAAACAATGTACGAAACACAATTAACAAACAATCCATCGAACAGGAAGGACAACAGATGACTTAACCAAATAAATCAGTATGTTGAAAGTCCATTTCCCCATTCAATTTTATTTTAAAGAGACATATGTGACCCTTAGTTTAATTAAGTCATTACAATCACAATCACGTCATTTTGGCCAGAATCTTGCTGCTTGTCACAGATGCCGTTCTTAAGCACTGATTACTGATTCTGGGGTTTAGGTAGACAAAATAAAAGTAAAAAACATTGTGTATAATGCATGATTTTTTTGTTGTGTATTTTGTTTGTGAATTTTGTTATTAAAAAAAAAAGATGGAGCCAAAGCCAGCATATTTTCTGCTTCTTGAAAGATAAATATTATGGACATAACGTACATTGTATTTTTAATTAAAGATAAATACACATTTTTTGTGTACATTCTTAAGGAAAATAATACATACCGTCCTTTTACTTTGTTACTGACATATTCATCTCGATTCCTACTACTTTTGAAACCCATGGTCAGAATATATATACAGTAATATAATATGCAATTTAGCTTCAATTATAATAATGTAAAATGTGCGGCATTTAAATAAATTGCTTCAAAATTACATGTTATCTGAAAGCTTTCATCGCAGTGAGAGCTTGATTCTGTGGCATCTTTTTAAACATGCTGCATGATTTTTATACTAAAACGCTGTTGCAGGAGAAGGATGGAGTTAATTGTCGGCTATTAAGACATCAGTCAGTTGTCAGTTAAATTTAGACTTATCATCCCCTTGTCGAGCCACGCACATGAAATTTAAAAAATCCCAAAACGTATCTGAAAATTTTAACAAATCATCATTCCTGTCGCCAATACTACAACCAACTACACGTGAACCTTTATTATTTTCTGTTGGATTGCACCAAAACTGTGACAAATTCTTATTGTTTAAAGCAAGTGCAAGTGTGTGTAAGAGCGTTGGACATAGTAAAGTGCCGTAAATAAATGCAGCATTAATGTGTCATCCGACGGGAGACGTTAACAACAACAGCTGGGAAATTTACGACCCTCGGTGTGCATTTAAACACATCAACTCTGCATACAATCTCCCCGGACATCGTACATCCATGTAATTGATTGCCGCTTGTCATTTCAATGCAGCGATATTCTATCAAGAGTTGGTTTGGTGCTTTTAACAAATGTGTTTATTCACATTGGAAACAATCGTGACCTTGTCCTTTGCATGTAGCCCGTAGATCATGGCTAAGGACAAAAGAATAATAATATCGTACATGCCATCCATTTAGAACGACAAGTCAAGTGTGAGGGGTTGTGCGTTGGGGGAAGGTGGCGGTATTGACGGGAACTACTTTGGAATGGGTTTAATTTTGTTATATGGATGTGTGCGTTTGTGTTTCTGTTTGTGTGTGTCTGTGTCTGTATTCACCTATGTGTGTTTGCATCTGCATGTGTGTTTGCATGTGTGTAGGTGTGTGTGTGTTGGTGTGTGCATGTGTGTGTGCGTAAGCATTTGTGTGTGTGTGTGTGTGTATGTGTGTGTTTGAGTATGAGAGGGTATGTATTCAAGCTACAGTAGTAGATAGCCCAGCATCAGTCATCTGCCATTGTGACAAATTCACGTAGCGTAGCTCCATGACAGACACATCATTATCATTTTTCTTCCCTGTACTTGTTAAAATATCCTCAGAGAGGGACAAAGAGAAGGACGGACCATAAAGTGGACCGTGCCGGAGTACAAAGGAAGCCACCTGCAGCGAAAAGAGGTGGTTTTTGAATAAACTCAGGTCTGGAATTTTCCCCTTCAGAATTCTAGATGATTAAATAATAATCTTGAGCATGATCTCTTGTTGGGAAACAAATAGACTCTA